TACTGTGACAGATTGGGGGCACGGGTGGCCCAGTCGTCTAAGGCGCCGCGATTCGCTGTGCAGAGTTGCGTCCCTTGGGCACGCCAGAAACCTATGATTGTGGGTTCGAATCCCGGTTCGCCCCAATTATGTTTCTAGGTTTGTCAGCACCATACCTGTGCTCGTGGGTTTCACCGAAGTGGTAACTGTCTGAGACCTGCATCACTTCGGGCTTTCCTCCCACATTAAGCTGACACGCCGCGATATGACTGGGATACTATTAAAAGCGGCGTTAAACCCAACTCACTCACTCACTCACTGTGACAGATTGTTGGAATTAATCCAATGCTATCTATGTGATGTCCTTGTCTACTCTGGTTGTGTGAAAGCTAAATGGTTATCAGACATTGTAACATCAGATGAACATGGCATCATTCTTTCAAACCTTTCGTTTATTGTAGCAGATAGCAAAGCAAGATACAATGTACTTAATATGTAATATAACATACTGATATGAAGGTCATATGAATTAATATACCTTTAATTTGAATCCGAAAGGTACACTGTTCAAGTGGTAAATTCTGTTCATGAACGTAACAGTATTGATACAGGTTACATGTATCTTTCACTCATATCACCATCTCAATATATGGCCGGTCCCTTTAGTACTTTAGCATAGACTAACATCTAGTCTCTGAAATAAACATATTTTACACACAAAAAATGTCGTTAAATTATAGTAATAAAAGATAATAAAAAGGAGCCCAGAGACTTTCTTCAATTACAGTAATTTAGACTTGCCAAATATTATAGACTTGCATGGGCTGTATTGGATATATTTGTTTCAGAGTCTGTATGACAGACTAACTTTAACACAACCTGTAGAGTAATAATAGCTGGACTTTAATTGGTAAACATATGGGGCGGGGGTGGCCGAGTCGTCGAAGATGCCGCCGTTCGCTGTTCAGCGATGAGTACCTCCAAAACTGCAACAGAAGTGTCACATTTACTGCAAACACTTAATACTGAGTTACCTCTATGATTCTGGAGTGTGTTACCTTCTTCTTTCTTGTGTAAGGGGGACGCGGGTGGTCCTGTCGTCTAAGGCGCAGCTGTTCGCTGTGAAAAGTTGAAACGGCGTGATATAACTGCCAGTGGGATACAGTCAAAGCGGCGTTAAACCCAACTCACTCACTGTCTTGTGGAGGGGACGATAGGTCCAATTAACCAGAAGTTCAGTAGATAGATTTCTAAAGCATATTGGAAAGATGAGGTGAGGTGAAATTGTGTTTAACGTCGCGTCCACGGTTATTGCACTTATGTAGCGACGTGCATGTACGTGTGTGTGGCTGCTTGTACTAGCCCGGACTGATGCCGATTTATAGTGCTAGCTCACTGAGATACCATGCCGCAGTTTAACATGAATACTCCACTCAGACACAGTATACTGACTCCGAGCCGACCAGTCCTTGTTTTAGCCCCTTAATGCCGAGCGCCAGACAGGGTAACAACAAGTACCATCTTTTAACGTCTTTTGGTATGACGCGGCCGGGGATCGAACCCCGGACCTTCCGCTCTCCGGGCGGACGCTCTACCACTAGACCACGGAGGCGGATATTGGAAAGAACCCAGCAATATGCGTTTAAAGGAAACTCCAGAGTTATGGGTGTAGATTATGTCTTAGGATTTCATGAATGGCTGAAGTTACCGGTCAAACGTTTACAGACTCAGCATAATATTTGTGGGCGTACTTTGTCGCTTCTACTTGAGTTTGAAGTTCTGACCATAGAATACCGTGACCGGAAACACAGAGCAGAAAACACCCGGGTGTCAGTTTGGGAGAAAGAGGTCTGTTGCGTTATATGCAGGGTGAAAACTGATTCTCCTCAATCACCACGTGCAAATATGTCATCACAAACACCAGTATCAGTATCTGACAGATGAACTGGTCCAAACCGCCAGGGTACAGTGACGCACAATCAGTCATGTCACAGAACTGGTGACCAAAGAAACATATCGAGTTATTGGGAAACACAGAGTTCCTACTTGAGACCACACACCGATGTATAGCCGCGAAGGTCTACATGCACTTAGCAGTTGAACCTGGAACGACTCCTAGCACGGATCACTGATTTCAACAAGCTAATTTGTAAGTATGGTCTGATTGGTCTTGCGATCGATCTGGTCAGTTATTGACCTGTGGGCGGCGTGTACACTCGGGGTTGATGGGACGTAAACAAAGGTCCGTAAGTAACGCGTGTTGACATTGTCAACAACGTATTGTCAACAACAGTGACTCGCTGCAATGTACTCACCGATTCAGAAACAAAGCATCCCTCTGGATGAAGTTCATAACCCAACCAGAACATGACAACACACATTGCTTACAATACAAGCGGAGGGCCCATTAGTTTAACTACTTTGTATGAAGGTAGTTCATTCATACAACTACATTATACATTATACAATGTCGGCATTTTAGACCCTTGGAGCAGTTATACAACGACTTGTATGAGTGAGTGTGAGAGACGGAGAGCTTGAAGATGAGGGTCCAGTATGAGCGAGAGTGTTAGTGTGTGTGTGTGTTAGTGTGTGTTTATGTGTGTTTATGTGTTTGTATTTATGTATGTGTTAGTGTGTATGTGTGTGTTAGAGTGTGTTTATGTGTGTTGGTGAATGCGTTAAGGTTGTGTTTATGTGTGTGTTAGTGATAGTGTTAATGTTAGTGTGCGTGTGTTTATGTGTGTGTGCTTTTATGTCTGTTGGTGTGTGTGTTATGGATAGTGTGTGTTTATGTGTGTGTGTTGGTGTGTGTGTGTGCTTCTGTGTGTTAGTGTGTTGGTGTGTGTGCTTCTGTGTGTGTTTATGAGTGTATTGGTTTGTGTGTGCTTCCGTGTGTGTTAGTGTTAGTGTGTGTTTGAGAGAGTTGGAGAGTCTGTGTGAGCGCCAGTGTGAGTTTGGGTATGAAATGTCTAAGCTAAGTAATTATTAACAACAAGGATAACCTTCATAAAGTAAAGACACGGTCTGCGATCTCGACTACTCGACTTTAGGACTGAGTCAGAGTTTCAGAATATACATGAACTTCGGGCACATGTCATGAATTGTTGATTTAGTTTCCACCGCAATGCAACGCTAAGAGAAGTTTCAAACCACACTCACTGCAGTAAATCTTAAAATACATTTAAAGGGTATGACATATGGTGACGTGGCATACAACTCAGGAAGCAGTATGACTACCATCCTTCAAAATATCCATCACAAAGCCTATTACGCTACAATACAGATGTAACGGCCTTTGGTCGGTCAAGCCTCTGGATCAAGCATTTTTTTAAAAAGAGGGGTCCAAAATATCAAAATCCTCTTACAGATAACTTTACTGCCTACAACACACTACATTAGGTTTTTAAAAAGGGAGGTGGGTAGGGGTGGGTCCGGACCCCTGGACTCCCCCTCCTCTCTGGATCCTTTGGACCCTCTGGATCTTCTGGATCCTCTGGATGTACATCAGCGCTCCTCGTTAAAACCACCAGCAGCGATCTTAGCGCTAAGACTATTGTCAGCCTATGTTAAAGTATTGGAGTTATGATCATCTTAGCGCTAAGATCGCTTTGTGCAAGTGGGCCCAGAGCTTATCGCTAACAGAACTGTCACCCGACACTCGATGGTACCGCTACAGCAGGACATGTTCGGCAAGGTGCGTTGCGGGAACGCGTTGCGGAGCTATTAACGTGTTAGCTTCGCCAACATCTACAATGGCGCGATAACTGTTAAACGCCTCATCTCGAGAACCTGTTCTTTCATCATCATACTAGTGGTTATATACAGAACGTGAGCGATGCGAGATGCACGTGCATGTCGTGAAGACGGGTGAAAAGTGGACGTGTAAGTATGTTGCCTTTCTCCTTTGGAAGTTTCATACATGTATTAAGAAAAAAACCCATTACAATCGAATTATAAAGCTGATAACTCAAAACTATTTACTGAAGCCAAACACTGACGTCATCACCCGATATAACCGGCAATAGTGAACACCAGGACGAGACAATGGAAGTCTTTCAGAAAGGCTGGGAGAGCGTATCGCTTTGGTTGCATAATCTATGACGTTTAGAAGGCAAGCAACAATGTTATCATTAACAACACATTGCCTCTTAAAGGGATATATTATTTTAAAACATTTTGCAATACGGTTATAACGAACTACGGTTTTAACGATCTCAAAGGGACTACTACTTTTAGTTCGTTATAACCGTAGTTCGTTATAAGCATATATACAACATAACTACAGCAAATAGTCGGGACCAAAAAAGTAAGTTCGTTATATCCGTCAGTTCGTTATAACCGTAGTTTACTGTATGTTATTTATGTATTTGCTAAGTTGCGTTAAGGGGCGGTGGTGTAGCCTCGTTGTTAAAGCGTTCGCTCGTCACGCCGAAGGCCCAGGTTCGATTCCATAAATGGGTAAATTATGTGAAGCCCATTTTTGGTGTCCCCGCAGTAACAAAGCAGGAGGGGCGGTCGGGTAGCCTAGTGGTTAAAGCGTTCGCTCGTCACACCGAAGACCCGGGTTCGATTCCCAACAATGTGTGAAGCCCATTTCCGGTGTCCCCCGCCATAATATTGCTGGAATATTGCTAAAAGCGGCGTTAAATGAAAACTCACATTGCTGGAATACGATAAAAGTAAAACAATACTCACTCACACACTCACATGCGTTACAACACTCGGAATTGTTGGAGCATTTTCCGCCGACTCCTCTTTGAATTACGGTAAAGTGCAGGGAAAAAGTAAATTGTTACTACATTTTTCTACCACAATTTGTGATAAATCATTAATATTCACTGTTGAACGAACCATTTAGTGCCGACTTCATAATCCATCCCCTCGACTGTGCCTAACACACACTTGGCTGCTCGCATTGTGTTCACGGCGCGATCTGATTGGCTGGGGGTTCTTTACGTAAAACAATCATTGGGAAGCGGAAGCGAGGTGATCAAGTTAAGTGGTGTAGATGCTACCTCTCGTGTGGTCGATGTCGGATCTCGCGTGAAGTCAGGCGAGGTACTCATTTCCTTACAACTGCTTCATAAGCGGACTTCGCGGACTCTGTAGAGGATGTCATAAGTCTCTCACTGCATCCACCCAACATGAGTAACATCGTTTGTATATGTGTTTATCTCTCACTCTTCTGTCAAGGGGGACTTTCACAGAATGACAGTAAGTAAACACGCTTACAGCAATGTCTCTCGACATTATTTCATGATTATTAATTGTCTTTAGCTTATTTATCACAAATATGTAAGAGCATATACAAGATACACATGGTTTGATATAGACGCTATACATATCTATCTGAAGCAGCCTTCAACAGCAAATCTAAACATGCTGTCAAATAAAACTTGGTCTCAAAAAGCTATAAAGTTATGCAGTGTTTGACAGAATAATCAATGAAACGAGTCAATTATTTTATCGCATTACCACAGAGAATTAATGTCATAATCTGGATTAGCACAATGTGATAGCAACGCGATATGGCGGAAACTCCCGTTAAGTAAATGCCATTGTTGATGGCGGCGATAACGGCGTCCTTGTGTAAAGAATGGAGTCGGCATTCACATCGAGCAGATCTAGTTTTTTAGTGGAGAAAAGAAGTAGTTTCTTAAACACTGATTACATCAATATTCTGCAAGCTTCTATGACCAGCATGAAGTCAGGGTATCCTCAATACACTACGGTATTAATGTATTCATGTTGTCCAGCTGTAACCATGGCACATTTCCTTGTTTAAAGTAATTAAGACTCGTGTGAGAAAAATCTGAGACTGCGGAAGAAATATTTTATATCCGATTGTTACAACCGATTGTTGCACAATCAGGGACAATCGCCTCGTGACGCTTTTGTTATTGGTGTCTTGGGATCACCCAGACCTTCATGTTCTGAAATAATCATCATTTCTTTGTGAATGAAAACTAAATATCGTATGAATTATTACCCAAGCAGAGCAAACAAACATTTCTCTTAAGAGTGAGTGAGTCAATGTGTAACGCGGCAGTAAATAAAAGCGACAGAACCATTTCCATACTCATAAGAAATCTCTGCCCAAAACAGAGTCGACAATACGGTTCCAGTCATAGCACGGCGGCGTGAAAACAGTCGACCAGTCAAACCAGTGACTGGCATCATGAGCACAATCCTGACATACAATAGACCAAGTCCCGTATCTGACAACCCGACCATCTCAGCCGAATAATACGATCAGCAATATGTGAGGTGAAGAGGTTTAACTTCGCTTTCAAAATTATTTCACCTACAATACAACGCTCATGTACGTGTGTGGCTGCTTGTGGAAGTCCAGACTTATACCGGATATATAGTGCTAGCCCACTGAGATATCGTGCCACACCCTTGCAACCTGGATACACGATTCAGACACCGTTTAAAACTCTCTCTTTAATGCTGAGCACAAGACAGGGTACCATCAGGCACAGTATACTGACTCCGAGCCAGCCTGTCCTTCCTTTAGAACCTTTATGCCGAGCGCCAGACAGGGTACCATCAGACCGAGTATACTGACTCCGAGCCAGCCTCTCCTTCTTTTAGACCCTTTATGCCGAGCGCCAGAAAGGGTACCATCAGACAGAGTATGCTGACTCCGAGCCAGCCTGTCCTTCTTTTAGACCCTTTATGTCGAGCGCCAGACAGGGTACCATCAGACAGAATATGCTGACTCCGAGCCAGCCTGTCCTTCCTTTAGACCCTTTATGCCGAGCGCCAGACGGTACCATCAGACACAGTATACTGACTCCGAGCCAGCCTGTCCTTCCTTTAGACCCTTTATGCCGAGCGCCAGAAAGGGTACCATCAGACAGATTATACTGACTCCGAGCCAGCCTGTCCTTCTTTTAGACCCTTTATGCCGAGCGCCAGACAGGGTACCATCAGACAGAGTATACTGACTCCGAGCCAGCCTGTCCTTCTTTTAGACCCTTTATGCCGAGCGCCAGTCAGGGTACCATCAGACAGAGTATACTGACTCCGAGCCAGCCTGTCCTTCTTTTAGCCCCTTATGCCGAGCGCCAGACAGGGTAACAACAAATACCATCTTTTAACGTCTTTTGGTATGACCCGGTCAGGGGTTCGAACCACCGATCAGCCGTTTTCCGGGGAACGCTCTATTTACTACACATCGAAAGCGGGTTCGATCAGCAACAGAGGGAGCTATTTAAACCCGGGTCCCGATGGGGATTTCTCTGAACCTAAAGTGTAGTGTCGCCTATTAACATAATCATCTTCCTAATGGGCATTGAAAATAGAACGTTTTAAACAGAATAGGAAAGAGTGCATATGCGGCATGGCATGACACTTTCTTGTCTCTAACTGTTCTTTGGTGTGATCCCCCAGCTCCCCCAGCTCCCCCTCCCTGTACCAGATATGTCCGTTGCATAAACACAGACAACCAGCATGAGACTAATAGATGCGTAGGTTTGGCCACAGGATGCAACCAACAGCAGTACAATAAGCCATGTTTGGTTGCATAATATTGCTGTGATTGTGTGTATCTAAGTAATGATCTGCTTTGACGACGTACCAGAGTTAACCGTGTCTTACACACAATGGCGTTTACGCTGCAGGCAATCTCATTAAAATCAAAAGTTTTACTCAGACGAGATAATACCTATGTCAATAAGCATTTTAGTCAGTTGAAGCCTGAGCGAATTTTTGAGGTAATCAGATGTCCACTCGGAACTGCTCGTTCGTGTTTGAGAAGCAAAAATCAGATATGCTGCTCCGAATGCGTCTTTGTTTGTGGACCAAAAGACGTTAAAAGATAGTACAGTAGACTACGGTTAAAACGAACACGCTTATAACGAACTGACGGATATAACGAACTTACTTTTTGGTCCCGACTATTTGCTGTAGTTATGCTGTATATATGCTTATAACGAACTACGGTTATAACGAACTAAAAGCAGTAGTCCCTTTGAGTTCGTTATAACCGTGGTTTACTGTAATTGTTGTTAATTAAGGGGCTAAAACAAGGACTAGTCAGTTTGGAGTCCGAATACTGTGTCTTAATGGGGTATTCTTGTTAAACTGCGACATGGTTTCTCAGTGGGCTAGCACTATGAATCAGTATCAGTCCAGTCTAGTGCATGCACGACGCTATAAAAGTGCGATAATCTTGGACGCGACGTTAAACCCCATTTTACCAAACCTCTTTGTGAGTTTGTGCGAAGATTTAAAAAGCCTCGTACGACCTTTAAATCAGTTTACATTTAAAGATGACCTTTAAATCAATCAATCAGCGGTCAAACATCAGCGGCGGTGGGTTTGTGTGACCTGGTCCAGATTGAAGCCCCCCACCCTGTATTTTCATTGCTTTGGTTATGTACCTTAAAAGTTTAATTCCCTCGGGTTTTTAGTCACCTTTTAGGCAGTAACTAGCAAAACACTTGGGCCTATATTGCATATGACACGTGTTCTTGAAGTGCTAACGCCGCACCTTATCACTATGGCCTTGTGACTCACACTAGTATTAATGTTAATCTGTAAGATCGGATTAAAGTTTGTAACAGACACACTAGATAGCCTAACTTTAGTGGCAGCAGCAATACTATAGAATGTCCTAGAATAACGTAAGTGCACACACGAATGTCTAGCATTTTGTCGCTGTCGAATGTCTGCATGTACTTGTGGCGAGTGCCACCGGTGCGACAGGATACGCTCATCGTTTCGCGAACACCAGGGTGGATAATATTCAGTTCCACTCGCTGCCGCTGACCACTGTGCAAATGTGGCCATGACACCATTTCATATGATAATTACTTTCAGTATATTCACAGCAGTACCTACATCTGCTAATATTAGCTACCCCTCACCCATCACCCCTCGTTCACCTTTGACCGTAACAGACCAAATAATAATCGTATTTAAATAAATTAACATTCCTCTCAGTTATAAGATTAAGAAATATCATATCAGATTCCAATATTTCGATCTATACTCTTGAAATCTTTATAAAATGTCATCTTTTATACTTTGTCATCTTTTTATACTTTGTAGAGAACAGAATGAGTGAGTGAGTGAGTTAAATTTTACATCGCATCGGCAATATTTCAGCCATATAGCGATGGGAACTAGGTATTTAATCTAAGATATCTGTCGACAAAGGACAGTAAAATAGTAAGGTATATCACAGTTTTTAATAAAACAAACTAGATCATAATTTCTTTTAAGAAACATATAGCTATAATAGATTAAGTCCTATCAATTAAAACAAGGCTATAGACCACTGATAACCAAAGTTACCACCTTACTGGAGATCATGGGAACAGTACCTATGCTTCCTGCATGACTCCCCAGCAGGATTTATGCCATCCCTTTGGCTACCAGTGGCTGTACCGCATGCTGGCCAATATTAAAAAAGACAATACAAGTGGCACCACCATCAATAATCTCAGTTGATGTTAATATTTAACTTATTTAAAATGCATATCATCTATTAAAAATGTATCTATTAGTTATATTTCTCTAAAAAATTCAAGAATTAAATGAGTACTGACATTATTAAAAAGATCCTTTAAAGAAGATGAATGATAATATTTATCCCTTGTGAGAGATAAATCGACACAATCAAACAAAACATGCTTGACGGTGATTCTCTCATCACAAGGGATAAAGAATGGAGAATCTTCACCTTTCAAAAAATATTCGTGTGTATAACGAGAATGGCCAATACGACATCGTCGCATAATGACCTCTTCAAATCTGGACTGACAACCCAAGTGAGTGTAACCGATGGTTTGTTTTATTGCATGTAGCTTATTTACACCTTCTTGGGTGTCCCACTTCTTTTGCATCAGACCTCGGATGTAACATCTAATCACAGGTTTAATATCACCGTATGGGATAATAAGGGGTGTCACAGATTTGTTGAGCACTGCTTTTGCATCAGCATCAGCCGTTGTGTTACCCACTATGCCGACATGGCTGGGCAACCAACAGAAGACAATGTCGTATTGGCCAGTGGCAAGAACATTATACAGTTCCAATGTATCCAATATGAATTGATGACCCGAAGACATGTTTTTAATCGCCCGAAGACAGGACAGTGAATCAGAAAATATAATAAATTGTTCGTGTATGGGCTGCTCTTGAATGTATTCCAAGGCTGTGAGTATTGCCTTAGACTCGGCTGTGAATATGGAGCTGTTGTC